CGCGACGGAGGATATTCAATAAAAAGAGTCAATTACAACATTGAGTCAAATTTCAAACTCAGATATCAACGACACTCACAGGAGCATGCTTGCTTTCAAAATCCACTTGTATCAAACGAATATTTGTGTTTTTTTTTGTCTTTGCCTTATTTTCGTTACACAGTAATAGGCAAAAAGAGGCAGTTGTATACACTCATTTTCGTCCAGGACATCAAGGGTCTTTATTACATCATATAATATATATGATAATATATATATAATTTCAAAAATATATAATATATATAGTTTTTGAAAACATATAATATATATTTTTTAAAAGCAGTTTTTTAAAAACATGTATAATATAGTTTTTGAAAACATATTTTTGAAAACATATAATATATTTTAAAAAAATGGTTTTTGAAAACATATAATATAGTTTTTTAAACAGTTTTTGAAATATTAGTTTGAAAATATTATTTGAACTTTTTATAAAACGATATTTGAAACGTATTATATATGATATTTTAAAACATATTATATTGTTTTTGAAATATAATATATATTATATAGTTTTTTAATATATACATATTATTATTAGTATTTTTATTTTTATTTTTTACTTTCATTTTACTTTTTGTTTAGGTCCAATAAGAGTCCGAGTCCAAAAGGAGTCACGATCCAGCGAAGGTAAGGGTCCAAGTCAGGGCCTGCCTGACCCAGCAGGCCATGACCGGGAAGTAATATGTAAAGCTTGAATACCTAGCAGGCCACAAAACCGAGCAAACAAGAGACCCAAGGTACGTTAGGGTTTTACACATGACCCTAACACCGCATCATCAAGAGCCCGTAAATCGGGGAGTAAATCAACGGCCAGAATGCATCAGGATGATATCAAGCAATCGATAATGGCGCGTGGTCCTCACGCGCTGGCTAAAGGAGCAATACACGTTGTTACGCGCTAAACTAAAGCATTCGGTACCCAAAACAGAAAAGATCAGAGCAAAATACGGAACAACTACGTTCCATAAACCCCAGAACAGAAAAATCTTCCACAAAAAATAAAAATTCATATTAATCATGATCGAGCCACCGAAGTTCAAGGGAAAAGATTTCCCTTTGATGTTATATAAACCCGATGAAGAACAACAAAAAATGGAGGAGTAAATCATTACAAATAAAAAAGAATCATCCTAAACCCACAAAGATGCAAAGAAAAAAATCATAAAAAAGGGAACAGAGCATCGCTTTCTTCGTCAGAACCAAGAGGAGCAAGCACATTCGAAAACCAAAAAGTCGTCGTAAAGGGTAAGAGAATCGAGGGGTTTTGGCCTAAATCTAGGACATTTGGCTTGTTGCATGGCACTTTTGTGACTGGGTTTGGGTTTAGGGCTGTTGGCCGAGTGTTTTAAGCCTTGGTTAAGGTTCTCCAGCCACCATAAGTGGTGGCGAGTGGCAGTCCGACGACAGGTTTTCATCGAGGATGAGGGGTTTGGTAGAGAGAATAGGGGGAGTGTTTTCGGTGGTTTGGAATAAATGAATTCAAAATAGAGGGTTGGGGTTTTATAGAGGGGTCACTTGTGTAATTAAAGGATTTTTAAATCCTTTCCGCAATCCCCCTTAGTTTGAAGAGTAATCCACTTTGGTCACCATATGTAATTTTGCTTTTGAATTTTGAATTTATTCAATTTAATTCTTGTTTATATTTTTATATTTTGCAAATTGACCCCTAACTTTTATTTCTTTCCTTGCAGCCTCCAATTAACTTTAATTTAACCTCTAATTTCTCGTATTTTCCAATTTAGCCTTTTTTATCTTCTTTTAATTTAATACTTTTTTATTTTTATCTTAACCCTATATTAATTCTTTTTTAATTTTATTTTATTTCAACACTAATATAAATTCTTTTTTAATTTTTGTGAATTCTTTTTCAATTATTTTAATATCCTTTTTATTATTTTATTTTGTTATTTAACATTCATTTGGCTTTGTTTTTTTAGGGATAATTTTAAAATCAATCAAAGTAAGTAATTTGGATCGAGTTTTATATTTTAATTTAACTTTTATTTTCACAATTAAGATAACCGGAAAATTAAATTGGTACCGAAAGGGCAGTACAATGGTGCTAATCCTTCCTTGACTGTAATCGACTCCCAAATCCGATTAATTATTGGTAAAATGCATATCAGGTAAATGGTAACTTAAGATGTCCGGTCAACCTAATTTAAAATGATCGGTGGCGGCTCCAACACATCAAATCAAGTCGGAACTCGATTCTGGGACCAACCGAAGAACGATTACAACAAATATGTAATCTTAATCCTCAATCATAGATTCACCGGAAGATTTTCAAGACTAAACATAACATGATTTTCTTCATCTTTTTCCGAATTGGTTTGTATCTCACTTTGGACATTTCCACAACTCTTCAAACAAAAACAATGAACTTATTAACTATTATAGACAATAGCAACAATTATCTCAAAATTTAAAATCAACTTAATACCTTTAATAATCTCAAACATTAAAAACATAAACATAAGATTATGGGTTTGTGTTTTTAGAGAAAAGAAATTTTGGGAAGAAAGAGGTGGGTAGAATTTAGGAAGAGGAGTCTAAAATTTTTATTATTAAATATTTTATAAAATATTTTTTTAAAAGGGGTAGGGTCAAAATGCGGTAAAGGTGGGTTAAAATTAAATTAAAAAAAGAAAATAAATAATTTTTTGGAAAAAATGGTTGTTGACCTTTTGTGTTGGAAAATAAGTTTTAAATTTTCGTGGGGTCAATTATTTTTAAACGGTGCCAAATTTTTTTTAAATGAGTCATTATTTTATTTTATATTATATATATAATTATATAGGAAAAAATTGGAAATATTTGGTGTGTAAATTAACACACCTCAATACATATGGGTTCCATCAGTGCTTCTTATTGACCTCGTTTTTCCTTTGAAGCTTGGAATTGTGGGCTTTTTCCATTACATGCAACCGAGTTGTTTCTTTCTTGGACGAGTAATCAAGTGACTCAAAACTAACGTCTAGGGAGAAGTGTTTGATACATGATCTTGTTCGACAACCACAGCCAAGCATTACTATCTTAGGTGACAAATGGCATTTGACAAAAGAGTCGTTTAGTGTCGTCGACTGTGGTGCAGGGAGGTTAGGATAAAAAATATCAACGCTTTAGGATTCATTATAGATAGCCGGTGAATTGCGGGACCTGGGGTCAGCCATATCAGAAGATTTTTTCGGTCACAACACTGGAAAGATGGTATAATACGAGAAAATTTGAGGTTCAAATTATTAACTATCTATAAAAAGTAGGTGTTCATTTTTGTTTACAAATTTCAGGGTAGAAGATATATTAAAATATATTTGAGTAAAAAATATGTAATGTAAATGAATTCCTATATATTAAAATTTTAAAAAATAAATCGAATTATATGGGTGACCAAAACGAAAATCTTTAACAACAACAACAACAACAACAAAACCCTATTCTCATAAGTAAGGGGGAGGTAGGGTAGTAGGATGTCCCCAACGCCAGGATTAAGAGCAGTTTCAGTGGAAGACCTCCGGCAGTAAGAAAATTAAAAATAAAGATAAAATACAATGCATGTATAACTAAATAAATAAATACATAGTTGAACAGTATTCATAAGCAGTCTTCATATGTACGTTTGTAATAGGAATAAGTAATCCCTTCTCATAAATCCCTGCGAAAAAATCTCTGCATATAGACAGAAACGTAAGACCCAACTAAAAAAACAAAAAAAAACCTGAAGAGAATGATACACAGAAGTCAACGATAACAAGCTACGAGAAGTAATAAAGTCAAATGGGTTAAAACCTAAACTAAGGCCACACTACACGGCTACCCTAGTTCTAAGCCTTCATAGATTATAATGACATAAACTTATAAAAAATATTAGTCATAGAAATTATTACTAAGGCATTACAAAGAAGACAGAGATGTTACACCCTATGTTTGTGACTCGCACTACTCGGCTACCATGGTCTTAAGTCTCTATATCTTCTTATCAGAGGTCATGTCTTCGGTAAGGGCTAAATCCTTCAAATCAGATCTCAAACAGTCTTCCCACTTCCGCCTTGGTCGTCCTCTCCTTCTGGCACCATCGATTGTAATCGACTCTACCCTCTTAACCGCATCCGACGTTTGTCACCTAAGGACATGTCCAAACCACCGTAGTCTTCCCTCCCTCAATTTTTCGGATACATGCACCACCTCCAAAAACATTCTAATAGCAGAGTTCGGTGTTATGTCCCACAGAGTCCTACGTTTAAGGTGCAACAATGCATTAAAAAGGGTAAAGTATACATTTATTGCCTAAATTATTACTTTTGTTCCATTTTGGTACTTAAACTTTATTTCTTTTCAAAATCATACCTAACTTTTAGTTTACGTTTCATTTTGGTACCCTCGGTTAAAAATTCAACCAAACTGTGTAACCTTTTTTAAGGGTAAATTAAATTATTCATCACTAAACTATCTTCTCACTCCTATTTTGGTCAATAAAGTATAAAAAATTATTTTAACTACTCAACTTTTAAATTGTTCTTGTTTTAATAACTCTAATTTATTTTATTAATAATTTTTATGAAATGACATTTTTAATGATTTTATTAATATATAATTAAAATAAAAAATAAATTTAAAAGTTAGAATGATTAAATTATGAGTAATTTAAAAAGTTAAGTAATTAAATTTAAAAAAATTAAACTTCGATGACAAAAATAAGAGTGAGAAGATAATTGAGTAATAAAAAAATTTATTTACCCATAAAAAATGCACGTAAAATAATCTCGTTAAGTTTTCTATGGCGAGATACCAAAACGAAATAAAAAGAAAACTTTATATATGATTTTGAATAAAATAAAAGTTTAGGTAGAAATATGATAAAAGTAATAGTTTAGGCACTAAATATATAGTTTATCCAAAAAATTGTCGCCAAAACTAACTTCGTCTATTCCTCGCATTTTTGTTAAAAAACCAAGCATCTTCCACCCCTTCTTCTGCATTTGCAGTCTCAATAAGTACATCTACATATATACATTCATGTTGTGTTGATAGTTGTTTAGATTATTAGTGGGGATGGGCGAGAAGATGAATAAGGAGGCATTGGTAGTTTGTAGTGATAAGAGTACGGGTATCGGGATAGCTGTGTGGGACTTGGAAACCGGCGAACAACTCCTCCATATCCCCACCTGTGCCGCCGCTCCTCACGGGCTATTTTGTTTGAGAAACCATTTTATTGTAGCTTCTCAAAGTAACAGGCACGGCTCTTTGGGTGGTGGTTCCATCTTTAGTTGGCCATTGAACAAGGTGATTTTAGCTGATCTCGAACTTTGTTTTCTGATAATTTGGTCTCTCACAATGACATCATGCATTCATCTGGATATTGGGATTGATTCTACATCAATTCCTTGTGTTTTTGTTATCCCAAAGTAACATGCAAACTTCGGTCCTGTTCACAATGAATGTTTTAAGTTCCTCTTTTTAACCCCAAACCCTAGGTTAACTTGACCTTTCCCTTGTTTTTCATGATCCTTGAATTCAATCCCCTTTTTCTTCTTTGCCTAATAAATCATTAGATGGAATTTGATACCGTTTCTTCTTTGCCTTGTGTTGGAAATTTGAATTGTGATAGCAACTTATAATCTGTAGATCTATGTTGCTCCGGCTTTTCATTTTTCTTGAAGCATACATGACCCTCTAGGACCCTCCTTGTGCTTGGAAAAACTTATAAATTGAATATACCTATGTTGGATACATACTAATCCGACACACCCCCGAGGATGTAGATTTCTGTATGCCCCTCTTATGTCCCTGGTATAAGCTGTTCTATATCTTAGAACTTCTAGGAAAAACAAGTACCAATGTTAAACTCTGTTATACCATAAGAAATGTCATTTGACATCCTTTTTATCTGTTCATATCTTCAGCCTCAGTCACCACTGCGGAGCTACACAATGGAGGCTATCGGACCCATTTCTTGCACAAAAGATGGCATATATATTGCAGGTGGAGCTCCTTCTGGGAATGTGTATCTTTGGGAGGTGAGTGACCACTCTCCTCATTCCTCTTTGTCCATAGGGGTGAATAAGCCAAGAATAGATCCTACATTTCATCCAATGAATTTGATTTAGGGAACTTTTATTTAAGTAGCTATAGTTACTTGAACAATGTAGTCATCATCTATGAAAATTATCAATTCTTTAATTTCGGTGCTAAAACCTAAAAGCTAAAGGGTCAACTTCATTAAGGCTAACGAGCTTACTATCTCTGCATTTTTATGATAGGTTACTAACGGAAGATTGCTGAGAACATGGCATGCTCATCATAAATCTTTGAAGTGTATGGTCTTTTCTGATGATGACTCGCTTCTTATATGTGGTTGCACTGATGGAATTGTCTCTGTTTGGCCTATGATTAGGTAAAAAATTATGTTTTCTTCTGCCAGATAGCTACCGACTAATAAATAATTTATGTTAAACTAGAAAACTAATCTTTTGATGCCCCAATCTAACCAATTTGATTAAAGTTTGCTAGACAAGGAAGATTCTGGAAGCTCGCCTTATTTGCTGCATTTCTCATCAGAACACAGATCTTCTATAACAGGGTTAGTAACTATGTCAGCTGCTGCAAGTTCCATTTTTGTATCAAGCTCTCTTGATGGATCATGCAAGGTCAGTTAAACACGGCATTACTTCAAGCATCGATGTATTTTATCTGCTTCATTGCGACATTCTTATGCAAGGCTAAAATTTCCATATTAGCAGGTTTGGGAACTAGTTTCGGGAAGGCTTTTAAGAACTCTAGTTTATCCAACGTCAGTGACAGCCATTGCTCTTCATCCGGTAGAGCATCTCTTGTTTTCTGGTAGTGTAAATGGAAAAATATTTGTTAATGTGCTTGATGTTGGAGCAGTTGAGGATCTGTTTGTCACTACAGAAGACCAAGCATTTGTGCTAAAAGGACACAAGTAATGTGTAATGTATGGTGCTTGAAATTTCTTAAGTTCTACTGGAAACTGAAATTTATTGAAGGCTTCTGTTGATTTGGCATTAAAGTTATTCTTGTATCAATGCTTGCATTGTCCATATGTGAATGAAAATCCCACAAAGAGACTTGAATAATCGAATCTTATGTGCAGTGAATCAATAACTGCATTGACTGTTAGTGGATTTCATCTCATATCTGCATCAGAGGATTTCACCTTCTGCCTTTGGGATATAATCAATCGGGTTGTCCTTAGAAGATTCAACAATAGAAAAGGTAACTATCAATGCATTTCATTTCTTATTGTTGAAAGGTTCAAAACAAAAGTAGAAAGGTAAAATATTAATGTCATTTCCTGAAGGGTTCTCTTTTTTTTATATGGTTGTAATGACTGAGATATGACCCCAGTTAAAACTGAGGAAGGTGCACATTGTCAAAAAGCACAATACCCTTGATGTAAGCATACTTACGGCAAGGGTGACGATCAAATCCCTTTACTTGTAGTAATGTGGGGGAGATATTCGAACTCAGTCATTACTGTTTGATTCTGTTTTGGATTAAAAGGGGGGTTGGGTGGGGGGAAGAGAAGAGATGGTATTGTTGATCGTGGACATAGAAATGTCACTTTTTGCAATGGTTAGCTTTGGTGAAAATCTAGATAAAAAAGTAAAGAACTGAAATCTTCCAAATGTATTTTCCTGCTACTTAATTTTAGTTCTAATTAATTTTTTTTCTATTGTCAAACAGGTGCATTGACTAATATGGTTGTGATTAAGCAGTCGTCATTACTTCCCATCTCAAACCATCAAAGAGTTCCTAATAAATTCCAGGTTTCTTTGCTCCAAAAATATCATCAGCCTTCCAACTCATGCATGGGAATCACTATGTCTCTTTCTTCGCCGGCTTGCCATAACAAGCTAACTCCCATTCATTTCCATGGAAATAATTTTCTAGACCACTTAATATCCTGTTCAGAGGTCTCTCTCTCTCTCTCTCTCTCTCTTAAGCCTGTTCTATTTTGGACATAAAGATACTTGGAGGATCGTTATTCATACCCTTATATCCATATCCGAATATGTATAGCACATAGGTGTCATAAACATGAGTAACTTAGGTGACGAGTGTTGTTAATTGTCAAAACTAGTGAAAAACATGGTCTGTGGTAGATTGGTGATATTAATCATACTCTTGTGTCCATGTTTGAATATGAGTCAGACTAGGGAAATGAACGGTTAGGTTAACATAGGTGACATTACAAGAGTTGTTGGATTCCAATTTATTATATTATGAGAATAAATCCTCTACTTCTGTTCCTGGAGTTTCCACGCTTGAAAAAAAATCTGGGACGAAACTAGTGAAAACCTGTGTGTGGTAGATTTGATGATATTTGACAATGCAAGTTCCTCAATGTCATGAATTATGCATCAGCAGATCAGATCATAATATGTGTTTGGTTTTGATGGGCAGCAAGAAGAACAAGCACCTGGAATGCTGCAAATGAAACTGGAGAAAAACATAGACGATCGACTCTGGGTGACGAGCATGACAAAGCATGTAATGGAGATGAACAAGCATTTGCAATCTCGTTTGCTGGATATGATGCAATGTCGGTTGCTATGCAACCCGTATGAGCCAGGTTCTTCCCCAAAGAAAAAAAGACAGAAAATCACGTCTGAAGATCATAGTCCAGAGGAGCAATCTTCGTAATTTAAAACCTTGGGATTGTTGTTGACATTGAAATTACTGTTTGCAGCTGGAGATTTATATACCTCCACCGTCAAAATCATCTTTTACCCAACTTTGTTTAATCAAGACCATATACTTTTTTTTTCAGTCTATTTTTTTTTAATAATTATAATATATTCATTGGTCAAATAAAGGATAAATACATTCATGTCTATCATAAACAAAATATAACGATGATCGACCAGTGACTGTTTGAGCAAGAGTGTAAACAATTGAGGCAACAACATATAGAGATGGATCACTCCTACATCCCAAAGCAATAGACATAGAGGAGGAAAACATGAAGAATATTCAAAGTGAACAAATGAAAAACAATCTTCCTTTGACCACAGTCTCGATACGTACATATGAGAATCAACAGAATGCCATATGCAAACAAACAAAGGAACAAGCATCGAAAAAACAAGCAACCATGAAATCTTGAAGAACTATAGACCAATACAAGAAACCTGCACTGAGAGTCCAAAAGCATCGATAGCCATGATCCCCTTTACTAGAAGAAGGGCAAAGAGAACATTATTTTAAATACGTTAAAATATAACTGAAAATTAAAATCAAACAACAATCAATTAAAGAAAAGAAAATGATAGGGAAGTGGCAGGAGGAAACCACCACCGCCTTGATGAAAAGTTTGTGGTAACTACCAAGTAATTTGTAACTGCAATAGAGGTTTTGAAGGAACTTTGAAACTACACGTGTTGGGAAAGATGAAGCTCAATTTGATCAACCAAAAAATGTGTAAGAGGGGATAATTGGCAAAAATTGCACGTCCAACTCAGTTGGTAGAGCGCAAGGCTCTTAACCTTATGGTTGTGGGATCGTGTCCCACGGTGGGCAATACATAATTCTGACTGCCGGAGGTCTCCCACGGAAGCTGCTCTCAACCTGGCGTTGGGGGAAGCCTACTATCCTACTTCCCCCTTACCCCATTACATATGGGAATAGGGTCAGCTAATATAAAAAGATAGAAAGTTTTGCACAGCGGTTTATAGTGGTTCGACTTCTCAACAAAGTCTACCTCCACTACCTTAGCTCCTCACTAAGGATTTTCCAAAAAATTCACTAAGTTGTTCTTTCTTTTTCAAAGACAAAAAGATAACCGTTACACAACTCCCTAGCTTTTCAAAGGCTCAACTAGAACCAAAACCCCTTTATAAGGAAAAGAAATGTAAAGAAAGAAAACCTCTAAAAGATAGGGTGTTTACAAAATAAAGCTCACAATAACAAAATATTTACAAGATACAGTAACATAGGAATGAAAAAAAAATTCTCTTGTGTTTGATTGCTTGGATAGGTGTTCTAACCCTTCTTCAAGTGTCTTGAACTTGTATTTATATGTTGGAATGAGTTTGTGTCCGTCTCTAGCCGTTGTGAGTGATTTAGAACCGTTGAGGATGTTTTTGTCTGTAAAATAAAATTACCCAGTACAAAGGGTATCGGTACTACCTTTGTTATTTTTAAATAAAACTAGCTGTTACTAGCCGTTAGGCCTGATGGTATCGATACTAAGTCTATGGTATCGATACTACTATGTAAAGTAGTATTGGTACCCCATTGGGTATCGATACCATTTTTTTCATTTTGAAATTTGAGCAATACTGGTAGTATCGATGCTACCTCGTGAGTATCAATATTTCCCTTACATTTGGTATCGATACCCTATGAACAATATCGGTATTGTTCATGAGGTATTGATATTGTAAGAACAGTATCGATACTTATTATCCAAAAAATATTTTGTACTCAATTATAAGTTAAATGGACTTCGAATTATTTTTAAAAACTTTGAATAAATTCAATTCAAGTCCAAAAACATTTTGCCATAAATTTCTATATCAAAACATAGTTCAACAATCTCCCCCTTTTTAATATAACAAAACATCTAAAAAATTAGTTTTGGCAAAACTCTCCCTTAATAAAATATTTAATGAAAAAGATGTCAATTGTTGGAAAATATTCAGCTCCCTTTTTCATTGAGAAATTGAATTTTTCAAACCCATACTTCTCCCCCTTTTTTTCATATAAAAAATAATTCAACCTTAAAAAATTAACATTGGAGAGTAAGTGGTAAATTTGACATTAAAAAAACATTTGAAAAATCAAAAGCTCCCCCTCAAAAAGTGCATTCCAAACAAAAAAAATTAACTTTAAAAGCTTGACACTTAAACAAAATTGAATTTCAACAAAAAATAACAAATATGTTAGTAGCACATGAAATCCAATATATCCAAGTCTAAAATACTTTACGCAATACCAAATGTTGAAATTAAGTGCATATGCATAAAGTCTTCCAAAATGTTATGCATTTGAAAATTTTCATTCAATTGTTAGAGAGATATCATTTGCATTTTTAAATTTCATGCATAAACATTTAAATTTATGTCAAAAACTTAAAAAAAATTAAAATCAAAGTATTTGGAAAATTGATATCAATTGTTAGATAGATATCATTTGCATTTAAAACCAATTTTGACCAAGAATCATTATGATGAACTAAAAATTATGAAAAATTATTTAAGCTTTAAAGTGTTCATCATAACACCTTTTTAACATACATGAGATAGAAAACATAAAATCATTTAAAATTAAAACTCATGCACGCATAAAACTAAATGAGCAACCAAATAATCAAAAAACAAAAACATTAAGCATAGAGGTTACCTATTCCTTTTCAAGTGTGGCTAAAGCATTTGAATATCTTCATTTTCATCACCATTGCTCCCACACACTACAAGAGACATTTAAGTAGATTTTGGTATCCAAATTGCTTTGGATCCTTGGACGTTAGTTTCAATGCCCCTTGTTCCCTTAGGAACCCATATTTGTCTAATTTTAAAAGATTTTCATTTCTTTATAAGACAAGCCATGTTCCAAATGACCATGAAAATGACATTGTGAGCATTTTGTCATTTTTAAGCATAATGAGTTATTTTTAGAAATTAATTCTTTTTATTTTTTTAAGCTCTCAAGCTTAACTTTCAAATCAAAATTTTCTTTTTCTAAATCATTGATTTTGACTTTTGAAAACTCTAAATTATTTTTCAAAGATCCATTTTGTTTTTTAAAATCAACTCTTGCTTTCAAAACTAAATCATTTTCAACTTTAAGTTTTGAAATTAATTTCTTATATTTGGAATTCATGGTCTCAAATTCCAAATACAACTCATTATAAGCAACTTGAAACTCATCAAAAGAATACGAATCTAATTCATTTGAGTTAGAAGTTACCATTGAATCTTCTTGGATGACCATGAGGCATAGGTTGGCTACTTCATCTTCATCATTGAAGTCATCTTCATCACTCCAAGCTGTCACAAATACCTTTTTCTTGCTTGATCCCTTCTTCTTTATAAGGGGTCATTCATACTTGACATGCCCCATTCTTTGACAATTGAAGCACACCAAGGGACTTTTCTTCTTGCTCGATTCATGCTTCACTTCCTTGGAAGTCATGAATCTCTTGAACTTTTTGAAGAGCTTGGCCATCTCTTCTTTTTTCATCATCGTCTTCATCCACCTCTTTACTTGAATCTTGATTGCTCTCATTAGTGTGTTTGAAGGCAATGCATACCTCCTTTTTTTTTTGCTTCTCTTCATATTCTTCATCTTCTTTCACCATCAACTCATGAGTGAAAAGAGAACCAATTAACTCAGCAAGAGTGAGAGATTTTAGATTTTTAGCCTCAATGATCGATGTCTTTTTCGATTGCCAAGACTTTGGAAGAGAGTATATCATCTTCCTCACAAGCTTTTCTATTTGTCGTAGCTATGGTTGAGAAGACTTATCTTGATTTTCCTCACTTCATCGGTTCCTTCATGAGTGACTTAGAGCTTGTCCCATATCTCCTTGGCATTGGAACAAGAGGAGACTCTTCCATATTCATCCAAGCCTAATACACAAAAGAGGATGTGCATAGCCTTAACATTGAGTTGGAACTTCTTCTTTTCTCCATCACTCCAATCATCCATCTCACCGGGTGGAGTAGAGTAACCCTTCATGATTGAGTTCCAAGCTCCTTGATCATTGGCTTGAATGAAGAGCATCATCCTTTTCTTCCAATAGGCATAATTAGCTCCATTGAAATACGGTGGCTTGTTAACCAGTTGTGAATCGTCAAGGTAGTAAGAGCCGGAGCCATCTACTTGTCGGTTGCATCAAGAATCGATAGAGCTTATTCTTGGATTGTCTCAAGGTGGTTAAACCTTCTAATGAGTCAAGCTCTCATACCAATTGTTGAGAAAGATGAAGATCAATTTGATCAACTGGAAAATGTACAAGAGTGGAGAATTGGCAATAATTGTTTAGGAAGTAAGGAGAAAATAAAGATAGAAAGTTTTGCATAGCGATTTATAGTGGTTCCACTTCTCAACAAATCTACCTCTACTACCTTAGCTCTTCACTAAGGATTTTCCAACAAATTCACTAATTTGTTCTTTCCTTTTCAAGGATAAAGAGATAACATTTACACAACTCCCTATCTTTTCAAAGGCTCTGCTAGAACCAAAACCCCTTTACAAGGAAAAGAAATGTAAACAAACAAAACCTCTAAAAGGTAGGGTGTTTACAAAATAATGCTCACAAGAAAAAAATATTTATAAGAGAAAGTAAAATAGGAATGAAATTTTTTTCTCTTGTGTTTGATTGCTTGGATTGGTGTTCTAACCCTTCAAGTGTATTGAACTTGTATTTATATGTTTGAATGATTTTGTGGTCGTTTCTAGCCGTTGGGTGTGATTTGGAGCCGTTGGGGATGTTTTTGTCTACAAAATAAAAATGTCTAGTACAGAGGGTATCAATACTCCCTATAGGAGTATCGACACTACCTTTGTTATTTTTTAAATAAAACTAGTCGTTGGGCCTGATGGTATCGATACTACTATGAAAAGTAGTATCAATACCCCATTGGATATCGGTACCATTTTTGCATTCTGGAATTTGAGCAATAATGGTAGTATCGATACTACCTCGTGAGTATCGATACTTCCCTTACCTTTGGTATCGATACCCTATGAACATTATCGGTACTGTTCATGAGGTATCGATATTGTAAGAACAGTATCGGTACTTGTTGTCTAGAAAATATTTTGTGCTCAATTCCAAGTTAAATAGACTTTGAATTATTTTTGAAAACTTTGAAAACTTTGAATAAATTCAATTCAAGTCCAAAAACATTTTTCCATAAATTGTTATATCAAAACATAATTCAACAACACATTTAATACCTAAACTATAAGTTTTGTTTTGTTTTAGTACCAAAACTTTCATTAGTTTCAAAATCATATACAATATTTACTTTTTGTTTCATATTAGTATCTGTAGTTCAAAACTTAACAGATATATTGAGTGTGGTATTTTTATGGGTAAATTACATCATTCATCACTTAACTATCTTCTTACTCCTATTTTGGTCACTAAAGTTTATAAACTTTCAATTTAACTACTAAATTTTCAATTGCTCATGTTTTAATCACTTTAATTTATTTCATTAATAATATTTGTGACATGACATTTATTATTATTATTATTATTTATTAATATATAATTAAATTAAAAAAATAAATTTGAAAGTTAGAGTGATTAAATTAGGAGTAATTTGAAAGTTAAGTAAGTAATTAAATTAAAAAAACTTCAGTGACAAAAATAAGAGTGAGAAGATAGTTGAGTGATGAATGATATAATTTACCCATAAAAAAGTGTCAGTGTCGTTAAGTTTTTAATGATTAGGTACCAAAACAAAATAAAAAATAAATATTAGGTATGATTTTAAAACAAATGAAAGTTTATGTACTAAAATGAAACAAAATTTGATAATTTAGATACTAAACATATAATTTACCCTTATTTCTTTTTAGGGATAATATAAAATATAATATTTTAGTAAAATATCCAATGTGATCTATGCACTTTTAAATAACGTAGTATTTCTTTCTTTGATTTCTTTTTCTTTCAATATGATACCTATACTTTGACCAGAATCTTACTTCTCACCTCATATTCTTATAACTGTGGAGTTGTGGAATTTAGGGTCTCTTTAACTAAAATCAGAGATTTCTTAATTGTTCTTGATTTTTAGGGGTAGTTCTATGATATGACAACATAATTTAAAGTTAAAAAATGATGATTTTAGGGCGTAATTGAAAATGTGATAAAAATATTTTAGGTTGAGCAAAGTCTAAAATATTACAGTTTTATTAATATTTGTGAACTTAAAATGTTACGAAAAATATAATATTTTCGATTGTTAATCGAAAATGTTATAAAGAATGTAATATTTCTTGTTCAAAAAAATATTAAGAAATTTATAACATTCAAATTACGTCTAACATAAAATATTATGATTTTTATCACATTTTTAATTACGCCCAAAATTCTAGTTTTAAATTAAACCGTCGGTCTTTAAACTTTTCCTATGTTTGCGGTCTTCGGGGCGCTGAAAACACGGGAAACACACACCGAAAGTATGGTCTGATTTCTATTCATCTTTCATTGGCCGAGCATCTACAAAAAAAAGCAAGGGCCGAATGGCACGCTATATTGCATAGATTGTTTTGCAGGTAATATGGGTCAATTATACCCACCGATCATTCAACTATAAACGAATTCTATTTTGACATTTAATTTTGTCAATAAATCATTAATCGTTAATACTTATTGGAGTTAACGTGATTTAAAAAATTAATATAATTATATATTTATTTTTTAATATTTACACAATCTATTAATTTAATCATGATTTTAATCCAACTTAATAAATTTAATTTTAAAATTGATCGTGACATGTGCAGGATTAAAACATATCTTCTTAATTTTAATTTATTTATTAAAAGAGATAAAATAACAAAAAGAATTGAATTCGGGACTGAGGACAAATTTGAGTGTACCTCACCACTAAGTCAAGTTTCCTATTTAGTAATCAATAATCAACAATATATTCTATTATAATTAATGGTAATTTCTTTCAATCTCGTTACTATATCTACAGCATATTTTGATTTCTGAGAATTCCTTTTTCTTTAATTTTAGTGTCACTTGTCAGACAAAAGATGATCTAACAAATAAAAACAGTGAAATAATAATAAAAAACTTAAATGAAAAGAAAAGAAAATAACGATGATAAAAAATCGTCCTCGTTAGTAGTCATTAGATTGTATTAGTAAAAATATTAATATATGTTTTCATAGTTTTCTTAAGACATATTTGATGGTTCTTATTGTGCTAAAGTACTTTAGCCGACATCTCCCAAAATACAACAATAAGATAAGCACAATAATAACATGACTACATTGATTACCGAACTGTAACTCACCTATTTTATCACTGAAATTGTTTTGAAAGTTTAAAAAATATTTGTGTGTTTTTATCTTGCAAGTTAAAACGATTTAAATATGAGATTCATAATGAAGAATTATTGAAAAGATCGAATAATGAAGTAGTGAATATCCACCATTAATGTAATTATCTATAATATTATCGTTCGAGAATCAAGGAAATAATTATGTAAAATAATGAAAAATTAAAAGCCATTAAAATTTCAATTTAATTTTACAAGACTTAACCAGTCGGAACATTTCATATCGTACAGGTGCGCCTCCAACCCCGTCAGGTTCATATTCGTACCGATTTGTACTCTACACGTGTGTGAGTCAAAGTCTCATTTTGCATATTCTTTAACACCTAAGTTGATTCATGTATATAAACATATCACATTTGGCATCCCACTAATGTGGTATATATTCCAAATGTTGGATATAAGCTTTACATTTTTCTCAACATATTTCACAAATAGTTTACTTTAAGCATTAATTTCTCATTTGTTTACTCAACCATTTTGAGCATATGATATTTATATACACTGCTATGGAAGTCTTATGAAATGGAATATAAAATCATAATTTTATGATTCAAATATTTATCTTTACTCATTGAAAATATATCTCAAAATTTCCAAAAATTAAAATTTCCTAACATTACTATAATCTATTTAAATGGTTACTTTCTTCTCATCTTGCGAGGATTTTGAGCCTGTATGTAGTTCAGAGTTAATTTGTCCTGTTTGCTTTATCAATAGGCTATAGCGAAATTTTAAAAAAAGATGATTTAAGATTAAAAAGTCATAAAAATAAGCACGATCGAAAATATTATAAAAAAACATAACATTTTAAGTTGAACGCACCCTAAAATGTGACATTTTTCATAACATTTTCAGTTGCAACCTAAAATGCTACAAAAAAAGTCACATTTTCAGTTGTCAATCGAAAATATTATGAAAAAATAATATTTTAAGTTGCAACTGAAAATGTAATGAAAAAAAATCACATTTTAGATTGCGTTCAACCTAAAATGTTATACTTATTTGATAACATTTTAAATCACGTTGATTTCCCCCATATTTTAGCCTTATCCTAACCCACCTACTAGTGAGATGGTTAAGAGTGGCATCAAAGGCTTTGCAAGCATGGTAAAGTTGAACCCTGATACTACACTTTACAACCTTGACGGCCAAAGTTTTCCAGTGACAGACAACATTTGTATTGAGGTAGAAAAAATCAGAGTTAAACACATTCGATTCATCTGCGAACTTATTATTTTAGGTCCAGTAACATAAAACCAACTAAACCAGAGACTGCTATGGCACACATTGTTTGCAGAGTACTTTAGAGCAACAACTTAAGCAGAGCAGACATTTAAAAGTTCATTTTAGCTACCTATCATAGATGAAAGGGGATCTAACCGTCAACAGTGATGTTGGTATCAAGCTGAGAGAATTCTTGGAAGAAGGCCTTGAAATGTTCATAAGAATGCTTCACATCATCAACAGCACACATTTCCCGAATGCTATGCATCGATAACTGGGGAGCACCTACATCTACTGTACGGATTCCGACACCACTTGCCAAGATAGGACCGACGGTCGAACCACATGGCATATCGTTCCGCACCACAAATTCCTGAATGTATAGAATTTAGTTCATCCATTACACCATTTCTAATAAAAGCATTTCCTTTCAGAACCATTTCTAGCAAAGTTTGGGACTTGATCCTCTAAGGACCCTCAAATATGAAAATATTGGAAAATTTTGAACATACAGTGCTGGACACTAACAAATGGGAGTTCAAGTAACATAGATTCCGACAACTGAATATCTTTTCTTATTTTCAGAAAAAAGTTACGCTCAGTTTATTTAAAGAAATATGAGGATTGTTGATAAGGGATTGTTGTTATCACTTGAGGTCCCAGGTTCGAGCACTGCATATGCAAAGGTGTATGAGCGTTTATTGTCAAATAGTTGAGTCTTTGAACATATATTACATTGTATTCACCCCAGACTAAGACTAATAAAAAAATTGAGGATTAATACTGAATACTGATTCAATTGCAAAAGATCAAAAGCTCTTTAAGAACATATAATTGTTACATTAGCATTACTTATTTTTAGGAAAAGAATATTATTATTTTGGCAGAGAAAATAGTTTTATTAGGAGATACTGCTATTTTAGTTTCTTCCTTTCTTAGAAGTATTTCCTTATTAGGAGATTTCCTTGTCTTTCCAATGAGTCTTTTATTCCATGTTACCTCTATAGAATAGGCCTTTTGATATTCAATAAAAATCAAGAAGTATTTTGAACCAAAACTTGAGATCCGACAACTCTCTCCCAAACAAAGGTGTATTCCCCTTTTGACGAGAATCATAGCTACGAGTGCTTAATGAATTGAGCAACTTGAACTCGACTCGGGTTGATTTGACTCAAACTCGAGATCTTAATGAGCTTAGTCGAGCAAAGGTCAACTCAAATCGATAAGTTCACGAGCAACTCGTTAATTTTTTATAATCTTTTAGTAATTAATTTAAAAAATTATTAATTTACAAATAGATAATGAAAAAGATGATAAATTACTAATCTATTAATTTTCTAATAAAAAATAAAGAAATACTAAATTATTAATTAATAATTATTATTTTACTACACCCAGAATCAAACCTTAAATTATTATTTTAATATATTTGTGGATTGTTGTTTTAGAGTTTAGACTTTAAAATTGCTTCCTACACTCTTTCGATAATTTTGGATTAAATTTATTAATTTATGTTTATTTTAAGTTCTACATAGTTTATTAGATTTTACCTATAGTTAAAAAAACAGGTAAAAATTTCGATGAGTTTAACGAGGAACGAGATGAGCAACATGCTTAATGAGCAACAAACTTAACAAGCAACGAGTCGAGCAACAAGTTTTTTTTAATAAGGAGTCGAGCAAAATTTTAATGAGCTTAACGAGCAATGAGTCGAGTCGAGCAACAAAACATTTTAACGAGCACGAGTCGAGCACTACCCAACTCGCGATCGACTTGCTCGATAAGCACCCCTAATCATAGCTAGAAGGTGAAACAAGCAAACGACTGCCAAACGCAGTCCTATTCAAACAAGATCCTATGCCTGGGACTGTAACAACTTGGCCTCAGAGCTAGGAACAACGGACAATTTGATCAATTGAGAGGAATTCAGCGAGTTCAAATCATACATGGTGATACATGCATAGGATAGGAAAACTAATTATTTTGGACAAGAAATTGACGTTTTTGTTGAAGGCTGAAACATCATCTGACTTGTGATGTATTTTAGGATAGAATTTAGACATTTTTAAGTCGAGATGTATTCTTACAACATGATTGACTGTCAGTTATCTTTCCAACGCATTATAAAACACCTCAAGAGGACGTTGGAAACCCAAGAAATGCTCATTTTAACCAAGACAATGCAGTAAAAAAATTCTATACCGGTCCAATACAGAATTTTTTAATAATTACTATAAATTTTTGATATTTTTATTGATTATTTATAATTAAATTTAGTCCGGTACTCTTAATTATGTATTTTAGATAATTTAGGATTATATTTTTCATTTATTTTAATTTTTTCTAAGAAATTTAGATAAATTAGGATATTATTTTATTTCATCTCTTTTTATTATTTATCTAAGATTAAATAAAATTGATCTCCTTTCTAATTTTTCATAATTTTAAGATTTTATTAACCTATAAACAGACTATTTTCTTTTGCATTCAGAACACAATTCATTAAATACATTACTTTTCTTCATAAACTTCTTTGAGAGAATAATTTCTTCTTTGTTCAAGATTTTCATCTTGTTCTTGCTTCGGAGTGCAAGTGTTCAATTACCCAACGACGAGTATTTGGCGTTCTTCTCCACCGTTTAGGTTGCTAAGAACAATATCCTTAGAACGTTAGGCGTTTTCAATCCAGATGCACGTTTGCCTAAGACAAGATTTTAGGAGGAGGTGTCATCATATCAATTTTATTTTTCTTATTCTTTTAATTTTAGTTCTTTTGATTATTTTGTTGCTTTATTTTAAATTCTTGTCTTTTTCTTTCAGCCATTGTTCCTAAGTTTCAAATTCAAAAAAGGATTAAAATGATCCAAGCTTCCACTCCTTTTATCACATGGAGTCGAGATTCGACAAACTAGAGTCAAAGTTTGACATAATACTGACTCCCAATCAGAATTCAGATAAGGGATTGACAATGGTGATAGCAACGGTGACAGAAGTGAGACCATAGAAAGGCACGAGACCTGTTCAGAGACAACAGCAGGATTGGGTATGGTTCTGCAATTTATGAAGTGAGATTTTCCAACTTATATAGGGACTGAGGACATGTTAATTTGGCTACGTAGATGTGATAAGTTCTTTTTGAATTGTTAGCCATGTGGAATCGATGAGAACGGATCAACAAATTAATTTGTTCACTGTCAAGCTCTGGGATTCAATCCTAATAGATGTCAAGATGCAGAAGCTAGAGGATTTGGTTCAAGCTATAAATCTTCCGCGAACCTTTGAGACAAAATACCAGCTGACCTAAACCATCGAACAACAAAGTACTACCTGGCATAATCAAGGATCTAACTCGAAAGTAGCAAACCCACCAATTATCAAAAGACTGAATTGAGCAGAGATGGCCTAACGAAGGTCTAAGGGTCTTTGTTATAATTGTGACGAACACTTTTGTAGGACATCAATGCAAGGGAATATTCTGGTTAGCGGCAGCAGATGAAAATGACTTGGGGACAAATTCGGAGAGGGGAAAAGATTGAATTGTACAATCCCGAGCTTGCAGACAAGTCTTTTTCCGGGAGGGGTGTAAGCTTAGTTAGCATTAATTATTTTCAGGAATATAATATTATTTTAGGAGCGAGTAGTACTATTATTTTAAATAGATATAGTTTTATTAGGAGATATTGTGATTTTTAACTTTTTGTGTTATTAGAAGTATTTCCTTACTAGGATACTTTTTCCTTATCTTTCCAACGAGAATTTTAGTCCATGTAACCTTTGTATAAGAGGGTCTTCTGATATTTAATAACATCAAGAAGTATTCTAAACCTAAAATTATCAGACTACTCTGTCACAAACAAGTTTCAAGGTGGATTCTCCCTTTGACGAGAATCACAGCTAGAAGGCAAAACAAGCAAACAATTGCCCAACACAGTACTATTCAAATCAGATCCTATACCTGGGACCATAACAACAATACAATAAATAATGTTTTATTTCTCATTAAATCTCGCACATTGAAGAATTCCTAGCAACTCTATGGTTAAGGATGGAACTGACCTGAATGGGCAGGTTATGCTTGATGGCTATTTCCCTGAATATGAAAGAAGTGACTGCATTGGTTGCATATCGCTGGTTTGCATTGTGTTTGATAACGAGGCCCCCATGCAATTTAGGTTGATGGTTCTCCTCATGTTTGTCCTGTACATAACACCATATGACTGCAATGCAACAAAATAAAATTATCTCACAAATGTGAGTTATGATTTGTCTGCAGAAACATACCATATAATTTGGGTGAAGGGCGTGTGCCATGTCAGCAGAAACAAGGAAACTTCTCTGGATTGCTTTTGTTAGCATCTAAAAAAAATAATGCAACAAAATGTCAACAAGATGATTTTAATGAAAGAACGATTAAGGAAAGTTTGTAAAAAAATAGCAGGTGTGGCTATGCCAAATTTCCAATCACAGAAAACAATTGGAAAATGATATACAACATAGAAATTGAATCTTTATAAAATAACATCATGTTCATTAGTGGTAAAAGAAAAAAAGGTAATATGAAATGCAAGTGCTTCTGTTTTCAATTTTCTACTTTTCTAAGAGAAAAGTTATGCAGATGCCATGCTTATAGATAATGAAGAAAATATTTTAGACTTTAAAAACAATGAACAAAACAGAATGCAATTTTTCCAGTCCAGACGACAAATTTTCACTCTATCTTCACTGACTAATAGTCAGACAAGCTATTTGAATAGAAGCGGATACGGAAAATAGCCGAGAAGCAGCAGACACCTTAGAATCTGAGGTGAAGGAATTCGTTATTCGTGATAGAGCATCTAACATTGCAGGAGATCCAGCTCCTTGCGCTGAATTAGATCCAACCTCCTCATGATCAAACAATGCAACCATTCTAACACCACTCTCATTTTCAAGGTCACTCTCAAAGGATGTAGCATCAATTAATCCCTGGAATGAAATAACATTATGATGAAGTGATGAAGCAAACGATGTGCATACCATTATTAGGTTCAATATTACATGATTTCAAATATTCCCCCATTTGAATATTCAGAATGAATAACACAAACCACATCTACATGTTACAGAGTTGAGAAACTCAAAAGTAAACCTATAATTTTGCTAACTGGGAAAATAAGCAAAAGACCTACTAATACCTTCAGAGAGCAAAAAGACATGCAAAGGTTGTCAAGCCTTCCAGAAAAGACGAATTCCTTTGCAGCTCCGGCTACTATACTTGGTTGAGTATCACATGCTTGCAACTCAAAATCACATATTTGATCTGGTTGACAACCGAGCTTATTTGCAATCATCTAAATAAAAGAAAAGATATGACTTTGTCAAAAATGTTCCACAATGTAGCTTACTGAACTTGATAAAGCTCGAGATTAAAAACCATCAAACCTGCAGCAGAAGTGCATGATGTCTTGATTCGTTCATTGTCTTGTCAGCCAGACCATTTTCAGCAACCTCTTTATTGAGCTCTGCCTGTGAAAAGAAGTTCAACAGATTTTAAAGAGAAACACAGAAAAACAAACATTAATCCCCTGGAAATAAAGACATACAGAAAATTTGATGTTCTATTCAGTGGTTATAAAATAAGTATCATTTAAACAAGCTTAAGTTATTCCTTTCTTAACAATTAAACACATTCTATAATTGGCAAAAAGCAAGCATGAATTGTCCAAGCTGAAGAACCAACTTGTTCAAATCGAACAATTTGATTCGTGTTATCAGTATTTCATTAAAAACTGGCATTCCCCGTTTTGTTTTGGTTTCGGTTTTGGTTTCTATAACAATATGAATGAATTAGTAAATAGTACAATATATTCATACGGAATTCTATATTATTAGTTTAAAATCATGAAGCAGCATATAACTGGGAAGCAACTATCAGAAAACCAATGCAGACATTAGTCAGCCTTTACCCATTTCACTGGAATAAAGTTTTAAACTGTTATGGAGTGGTTGACACAAGTTCACAATATAAATGAACTTAGGATACGGGAATGATAAATGGCACAACTACAATCTGAAAAATAACATGCAATAAGAATGGATAAAAATTTACCTTAATTGATGTTGCCAGGACAGGTAAAAGATGACTCTGTGTGTTGACCTTAAATCCATCATTAACACCCCTACTCACAAGACACACAATAGGCAAGTAAATTACTGTGTCTACAATGCTAACAGAAAAACAATAAGAAGTCAAAATCCTAGAAGAGCAAAGTGAGATAAATCCAACAAAGCAATTATCTACACCAATCAAAAGCTTAAAGCACTATGGGAATTCATCTAGGAAACCCACCTGTCTAAGTGAATAGCCAGGGTAGGGATCCGCATTATAGGTTCTTCAATTCTAACTAGCCGATGTGAATAGGAAACAGAACCACCTTTCTCCTCTCTAATCATCACCCTTCCTGCAACTGTCAAATCACGATCGAACCATGTATGCCACAAGCCACCTCCATAAGTTTGTACACCAACCTCCAGATAACCCGCTTTTTTTACCTGATCAATCCCACAGTAAGTTTTTCTTTTTTGCTTTCTTTCAATAATAAACTATGTCATGAACATTTTACTTTAGTGATAGAAAGAGTAATAACCTCGGAAACAGGCTTCAATTTTAGACAAGGGCTATCAGTATGTGCACCGACTATATGGAATCCATTGCCAGCAATGAATCTAAACGTACAAAATATTAGTGGATAAACAACTAAAACATCATCTAATCACAATAGAAAAATAAACTTTAAATCTTTTTTACAAAGTAATTAACAACAACCATATAGCCAAAAAAAAGTGTTAATTATTCACAAATTTACTGCCAGTATTACCTTACACATTTTTTACAATCATATTAAACTACAAAAGTAAAGAAATAAGTTTCTAAAGAAAATAAAAAAACATACTTTTTACCAATAGCAAAAGCAACAATGGTGGAATGATTCCTGGTGAATAAGTATCTTTTCCCAGCTTCTAGTTTCCAATCCTCTCTCTCTAATACTTGTTCATACCCAATCTTTTGCAAACGTTTCTTTGCTTCATCTGGGATTAAAACAACCAAACAAAAAAGTTGAAATAAGAAATGAATATACATAAATTATGATAGTAAATTACTCCGATTAAATGGGCTTGAATAAGTTGACTTCCACCAACAGAAAAGCGAGAAGAAAAAGATTACCGACGGCGTGGAAAGCAGTGGGCGATGCGTTTAAGAAGCCGATGAAATCAGACACAACAGAGCTCACTTCAGTTGCCGCCATGCCTCTTCGTTCCTTCAATTCGATCTTAAACTTGGCTTAGGCCTTTGTTTATAGCTCGAATTTTTCAGCATTCCCAGTGTATAAATATATGATATTGGTACCTGCTTGTTTCTGGATTTCGTTGCGTCTAATTTGCGATTTCATAGGAATCCAATATATGCTTTGGGCCATGATCCAAATTAACCATCAATATCTTTCAGTCATGCATTTTTTTACCCTACAATTCATCTAATTTTTATATCATTATGTTTAAGCAATATAATTAGGCAATACGAAAATAAGTTAAAAATAAAATAAAATATTAAAAATATGAAATACATGTTTTTAGTTTGATTCATAGTAATTATCAATTTATAAACTTTAAAATTAAATAAAATTGAGAATTAATCATTGGTTTCCGTTCTATTAATCGAATAATCCAGATCGGGTATTGCAGAGGTGATGATGACCTTCCCAACCTAGTTTGCTCCAGATCGAGTATTGATTTGAAAATTTTTTTATTATATTTTTAAGGTATAATGTCAAAAAAAATATCTCTAACGTTTTACTAAATGGTCATTTTGACCCTTATTATTTTTTTAGAGCATTTTGACTATCAACATTTTTATTTTGGGATAAAATGAATTAACCCAAACTATACATATATACTAATCACATCCCTTGTTAACAAAATAATTAGGCCAAGTTATATTATTATATGTTTAAAGAAAAAAGCAATATTTAGGTTAAAGTATGGTTGAAACTAATCACATATTTGGATGAATTTAGGGATGAAAGTGGAATATTCAAAGTTTGGGACCAATTTAGAAAGAGGTTCATAGTTTAGGGATGAAATTAGAATATTCAAAAGTTTAAAGACTATTTAAAGTGAGTCATAATTTAAGGATGAAATTAGAATATTCAAAAGTTTAAAGACTATTTAAAGTGAAGGTTATAGTTTGGGGACATATAATACAATTAACTCTCTTTTTTCAAATAATAGTATAATATTCTTATTCCTAGTTTTTTTGGGTAGTTTTATGGATTACATAAAGCATTATTAAGTCACATAAAATATTACAATCTACGAGTTATAATGTTTTTCTATAATTAAACATTTGTGTAACTACAAAAAAAATGTTACGAATTGTATATACAAATTAAAAAGTTATAACAATTTGTATAATTTACTGATGATATTTTTGTGTATTTATCATAAAAATGTAATGTCCTAATTCAACCCTAAAGAACGAGCGAATCCAAAATACTATATTAAGCCACCTATGTGACACAATAAATAAACACATTTAGTATGAGAACAATACGAATTATAACAACTATAACTTGAAGTTGTCCTAAATTTAAATCACAAGTATTGCACGACGATTTAGTAGAATAAATAAGTATAAAAAGATATTATAAATCGGAGCTCCAACATTTTAAAATCAAAATTTTTGACAAAATATTCAAAATAGAGTTACAAATCGATGACACGATAACTGTCCTATGAAATATTATACCCGATAAAATTAAATAAATATTGTACACTAAAAGATGAGAAAATTCCTCCTAGTGATACTATGCTCCTTGGTCACAAACTCAAAATAAAATGTGAATGTATGCACGAAACAATTCTGTATGTTGAACATTTTTCAAAATTTAGTGGTGAACAATTACTCTACCGTACCATATGAAGATGATAAACTTGAGACATACAACTTAAACAAGTAATCATGTCATGCATAAAATCCACAATACCACAAGGGCATTTATTCACATTATTAGCTCATTCAGTCATTAGCAATTTCATATGATCATTGACATTCACATGTGATTTTGAGAGAAAGGTTCATTTTTAACAAAAATGATATTAGTATCGGTACTAGACCTATTGGAATCTATGATATTTTGTAATAAAATCCATAATTGTGGGCACATATGTATATGTTAAAGTTGGAAGTGAAGAAGAAATACAAGAAGAAATGTGATTAAAGATCGTAAAAGAAGGATTAGGGATTTCGAATGTTAATTTGGAGAACTTTGGGAATGAGGTGATAAAAGGCAAAGCATGTGAGAAGCATGAGGACATTAAAGAATAAGGAGTCCAATACCTGCGAGATGATGAAGACATTTCTGGATTATGAACTCTAATCATATTGAAATTACACTTGTACAAAGTCGTCAAAGTTGTTAGTAAGGACAGTCAGCTGTGGAATCTAGTGTATTGTAAACAAATAAAACTATGTACTACAACTGATGAATTATGAAATTGTTGAATAAAGTTTTCTTTATGAAATCTACATTTCTCTATATTTTTCTCGTCTATTTTCTCAAATAAACCTAAAGTTCATAATAACTTGGCATTAAAGCCTAAAACCCTTGCACTCTGTCGAATTGTGTAAACCTAAAAAGAATTAAATCATGGTTGAAAATGTATATATTACTTCCATAAAATAACATATCAACAATTTAGCATAGAATATGCAACAATTAACAGATGGAACAACACCTCCCAAATGGTGGGAAGAATAAGACAATTGTCTAGGTAATCTGGAGTCAAGGATGGAAACAAATCAAAGTTATGTGGAACAAATCCTACGAATTTTGACTTGGAGGGAGGAGGAACAAGAGAAAACAAGCTCTGAAGATGACCAGGTAAATACCCCTAACCCTTCAAATATGATGGGAAAAAGCTTATGATGGTGATAATAATAAATAATAAGTCACGATTTTCCTATAAAACCAATGAGTTTGGTATCCTCAAATCTAAACCAGATGATTTTTTCAAACAAGTCAATAGAATCCTAAGTTCGAAAATCAGATGGACAAAAATAGTGGTATTGAAATAACTCAATGGGGTATGTGTTAGCTAAACCTAAAGTTGAGTTACCAACTTTTGAGGGCATAAATCTAAGGGGATGGATACAGAAATGTCATATTTTTCACCTCTTTAGAGTTCTGGATGAACAAAGGGTGAAAGTGGTTTCGATATATTTAATCGGAAAAGTAGAAACATGGTTTAATAAATACATCATGCAAAAAAATCGTGTTTACTGAAACGATTTTGAATGTGGTTTTTGTCATCTGTTCAATGACAGAACATTCCCATATATTATTGAGGAGTTTAGTAAACTAATGCAAAAAGGGGTTTGTTGAAGAATATCATGATAAATTTGAGGAGTTGAAGCTCTATATGATGTTACAAAATCCTAACTTAAGGGAAGAATTATTTGTTTCTATCTTTTTTAGTGGATTAAAAGAGGAACTGAAACACAAAGTGAAGGCACTGAATCATAAAAATCTAGTAGAAGCTTGCAAACAAGATAAATTATATGAACTCTCCATTGAGTATGAGACTAGGAGAAAAATATTGAACTTTTGAAACCCATCCTACCTAAACCCAACAACTTTTTCCAGACCTTTATCCAACCCAATTAACTAGAAAAACAATCATGTTCCTCAAAGAAAAAGTAATCTCATTGAATATAGAAGATAAAATAGTTTATGTTTTAAATGTGGGGACAAGTTCACATTAGGACATCAATGTAAGCCTAGACAATTGATTATGATGGAGAAAGAAGACACTATTGAGACAACATAAACACTAGATTAAGACATTGAGGAACTTGGTACTCAGGAGGAGGAACCCTTGGAAATTTATATAAATGCCCTTACTGGATCCATTGGTCATAATGCATTGCGTATTCAGGGTTTAATTAAAGGTAGACCGTTAAGTATTTTGATTAACAATAGAAGCACCAACAAGTTTTTAACTCCAAGATGGGCCAAAGATGGAGTTGACATGGTCACTACTTATCCTTTAGCAATCATAGTGGAAAATGGGGAGAAACTCTTCAGTTCAACCAGTTGTAAAAGAATTACATGGCTAATGCAATGTCATTAATTCACTCATGACTTTAGAGTCTTACACTTAGGTGGCAGTGATATGGTACTTGGGGTTGATTGGATGAAACTTTTCATCCCTATTTTGATGGATTTTAATCATTTGAAATGAGTTTTAGTAAAGACAACCAACAAATTGTCATTCAAGGCCAAAGTAACTCAAAATTGCTACAAACAATGTCTGGTTCTACATTATAGAAGATGATAACTAAAGATTCATATTTGGTAAGATGTATTTTCATGATCAATATGAAAACCCCTAAACCAAAAGTTCCAGTTGAACTACAACCTCTGTTAGTGAAATTTAAAGGTATTTTTTGAAGAACCTACAGTCATGCTACCATGCAGGACTTAGGACCATACTATCACCCTAAAAACTAGTTTCTTCCCTAGAGAATTTATACCCCTACAGATTTTCTCATCATCAGAAAGCTAAAGTTGAAAAATAGATTACACACATGTTGTCTTCTTCCATTATTTACCCAAGCAAAATACTTTTGCTTCACCTTGTTTGTTAGTGAAAAAAGGATGGGACATGCCACTCTTGTGTTGATTATAGATAACTCAACAACCTCACAATTAAGAACAAATTCCCAATTCATGTTGTTAAAGATCTCTTAGATGATTTGAATAAGACATTTTTATTTTTTTAAGATAAGTTTGCACTCATGGTATTGACATATAAGGATCAAACCTAAGGAAATCTATAAAATAACATTCAGGACTCGCCATGGACACTTTGAATTTAGGATAATGCCCTTTGACCTTGCAAATACCTCATTACATTATAGTCCCTTATGAATGAACTATTTAACCCTTATCTCAGAAAATTTGTTCTAGTCTATTATAATGATATTTTAGTGTACAACAACACTATTACAAATCATGTGCAGCATTTGAGAATTGTCTTATAAACACATCAAGACAACCAACTATTTTCTAAAAAGTCTAAATGTTTTTTGGGGAAAACCAAGTGAAGTACTTAGGCCACATTATATCAGAAAACGAGATTTCAACTGTTCTAGCCAAAGTGACAACAATGAAGTTGTGGCCACTACCTAAGAGTCTCAAGCCCCTTAGAGGATTCTTGGGCTTGATAGAGTACTAAAAATGTTCATTAGAGGGTATGTTGAAATTAGCAAGCCCCTAAAAAATGCTCAAGAATATGAGTTTTACATGGTCACCTACAATATTACAGCTTTTGATAAACTTAAGAAAGCCATGTGTTCTACCCCAATTCTGGCTTTGCCTAATTTTTTAAGTG